GGACATCCTATTTAATAAATGGTACTGGGAAAGCTGGCTTGCTATTTGCAGATGAATGAAATTGGACCCCTGTCTTTCACTGTATATAAAAATTAATTAAAGATGGATTAAATACTTAAATGTAAGACCTGAAACCATAAAAATCCTAAAAGAAAACCTAAGAAAACCTCTCTGACATTGGCCTAGGCAAAGAATTCATGACTAAGACCTCAAAAGCAAATGCAACAATAGTTCAAGACAAATGGAATTTTGTCCAATTTTTAATGGGGCTATTTGTTTTGTCTTTTGAGTTGGGTTCCTTGTAGACTTTGGATATTAGCTTTTTTTTTTTGGATTCACAATTTGCAAATACTTTATCCCATTCTGTAGGCTGTCTGTTAACTCTTGATTATTTATTTGCTGCGGAGAAGCTTTTTTGTTTGTCCCACTTTTCTTAAGCATTGTTTTGCAAAAATAAGAATCTAGATGTCGACCTTACACTGTTTACAAAAGTTAACTGAAATTTGTTTATAGAGATAATGTAACACACAAACTATAAAATTCCGAGAAGATGACATAAGAGAAAATCTAGATGACCTTGGTCTCACAATGGTTTTATAAATACAACAAATGCACAATACATGAAAGAAAAAACAATTATCTGGACTTCATTAAAATTAAAAACTTCTACTCTATGAAAGACACTTTTACGGGAATGAGAAGTTAAGTTCAATGAGAATAAATAATTCTAAAAAATATATCTTGTAAAATATTATTATCCAAAATATTCAAAGATGTTTTAAAGCTCAACAATAAGAAATTGGTGATTTCTTACAAAACAAAAATATGCTTACCGTATGATCCAGCTGGTGTGCTTTTGACATTTGCTAAATGAGTTGAAAAATTATGTCCACAAAAAACTTGCACATGGACATTCACGGGACCTTTATTCATTGTTGCCAAAATTGGAAGCAACCAAGATGTTCAATAGATGAATAGACAAACAAATGTGGTACATCAGTATAAGGAAATACTATTTTATTATTATTTAGTAGTAAAAAGAAATAAGCTTTTGAGGTATGACAAGATATGGAGAAATCTTATGCATATTAGTAAATGAATGATACCAACCTGAAAAGGCTACATGCTGTTATTCCAACTATATAATAATCTAGTAAAGGCAAAACTATGGCAACACTAAAATGTTCACTTGTTACCAAAGACTAGCAGGGAAAGGCCTAAAGAATAGGCAGAGGCCGGGCGGGGTGGCTCACTCCTGTAATCCCAGCACTTTGGGAGGCTGAGGCGGGTGGATCACGAGGTCAGGAGATCGAGACCATCCTGGCGAACACGGTGAAACCCCGTCTCTACTAAAAATAACAAAAAATTAGTCAAGCGTGGTGGCGGGCACCTGTAGTCCCAGCTACTTGGGAGGCTGAGGCAGGAGAACGGCGTGAACCCGGGAGGCAGAGCTTGCAGTGAGCCGAGATCACGCCGCTGCACTCCAGCCTGGGCGACAGAAGGAGACTCCGTCTCAAAAAAAAAAAAAAAAAAAAAAAAAAAAATAGGCAGAGCACTGAGATTTTTAGGCAGTGAAACGATTCTGTATGATGCTATGGTGGTGGATATATGGCATTATACACTAGTCAAAAATATATAGAATGTACAACACAAAGAGTGAATCCTTTGTAAACTATGAACTTTGGTTGATGATTATATCTGATTGCTGATTTATTAACCATAATTAATTAACCTCAATAATAAGGTTGTTGATTGTGGGAGACTATGTGTTGGTGCTGGGAAGGAGTTAGTGGGAACTGTATACTTTCCACTTAGTGTTGCTGGAAACTTAAAGCCGCTGTAAAAATTAACTATATTAATTTCTTTAAAAACCCTCGAATTCACCACTCCAGCAAAGCTGAGATTAGCATCATTCGGTGACTGTAGATGGCTTAATATCGATACCCTATTGATCATTTGGACTGAGGTGGGGATTCTGTAGGATGAGATGTGAGACATCACTGAAGCAGCAAGGAGGGAAACTTGGATTCTAATGAAAAATCTTGTATTGATGCATTAATGACACTCTAAATCACTGAGTCACCAAGTGCTAATTTCTAAACAAAACACACACACACACACACACACACACAAAATTTAGATTAGTTGGTCTCAGAGACCCCTTTTGTCTCTAAATTGTCTATATTTCTTTCATTCTATTAAAGAAACTGTCAAGGCAGGAGCCTTACCTTAGCCGAAGAAAGGAGGAGCACAGCAAGGACAACTATCTCTTGAGGAATAAATTTATTGCTCTAAGCTAGTTTGGTTCTTTTAGAGTTTATAGCTACATGAGTCAGGCAGTAAATTACTGCTTCTCTTCGCCCTGGATAAAGGGCTCATGAGAACCTGGACTCATGATTTAAAGGTAATAAAACCAAACTCTTCTGACCCACATTTTACTCAACTGGTGCTGGAATTATTAACTAAATTAATGTTTGTTTTGAAAGTCACTAATTAGATCAGTCCTGAAATACTGAATTTCAGTAGTTCTTGGTGATATAGTTGAAATGAATTTTTAGGATAGAGAGAAGGCAGCAAGATGCAGCAGTTGTTGGTTCCAGCTCCAGCTTGTCCACATGTATTCTTTGTGTCCTTGGCCAAAGTACTGAATCTCCATGGCCCAGTTTCTCCTCTCTAAAGTGGGAATAATTGAAAGAATAGAAATATATGTGATCAGCGTGAAAATTCTCTGTAAATTTTTCATTATCTCTGTAAACATAATCAATAAAATGCTGTATATGTGGGTCTTAAATTTTTATTAATTAAAAAGCTGGAAATTACTGCACTAGTCAATGTAAAATCAGTATTATGATATCTTTTCAGAACATGGCTTTGCACACACACTTTGTCATTGGTGATCTAGTAACATGTATAAATCTAGTTGTATTTAGATATTCATGACCACTGAATATCAGTTTCCATTCAAGTCTGCACATAGTGATAGTTTTGTGCTCTGGGTCCATTCAATGGTTTTTCTACCTCCCATCATCTATTGAATCCACAGCTGTTGTTCTGTGTATCACTTTCTCTTCCTTGCTGTGCATTATTGCATCCTATTATTTTTTACAATGACAGACCAAAAACAACAGAAGCAGCCATGTCTGGAGGTGACTGAGAGGTGGAGAAGCCACAGATTCTCAAGTTCTCTCCAATAAATTATCTGAAATTGACCTTTTCCTCAATAATGCTGACAACTTTCACTATATGGTGATGCAGAGGAGAGGACTCTAATTTTTATTCCTTCTTTTGAGCATCTCTGGTCCTCTTATTCTTCTAGACAAATGAGCCTCTATTTAATGTGAAGCCTGTTGCTTTCTGAAGAGAGTCAATGTGGTGTATCTTTAGAGTAACTAATATCTAGGGGTTTGTTTTGTTTTTCTAAAATTGTTCTTGAGCCAGCTCTGGTGTAAGTGATAATGCACCCCAATGGGCATTAGAAGATCTCTGCTCATATGCCAGTTTTACCACCTATCAGCTGTGTGGCACTGACAGGTGTCCTGTCCTCCCAGAGTTTCTCTTTCCTCATTTGAAAAATTAAAAAATGATAATCTTTGTCTTGCAGTGTTTAACTTAATGATGAAAGGCATGTAAATTTATTAGTTAATAATTTGATTTATTAGCTAATTATTAGCTAATAATTTGGTCATTAAAGATGTATGAGTAATTTTTGCTATTTCATGTCTAAAGCAATGTATTTTTTCTTTTTTTTCTTTTTTTTCTTGTTTTTGTTTTTCTTTATTATTATTATACTTTAAGTTCTAGGGTATGTGTGCATAATGTGCAAGTTTGTTACATATGTATACTTGTGCCATGTTGGTGTGCTGCACCCATCAACTCGTCAGCACCCATCAACTCGTCATTTACATCAGGTATAACTCTCAGTGCAATCCCTCCCCCCTCCCCCCTCCCCATGATAGGCCCCGGTGTGTGATGTTCCCCTTCCCGAGTCCAAGTGATCTCATTGTTCAGTTCCCACCTATGAGTGAGAACATGGGGTGTTTGGTTTTCTGTTCTTGCGATAGTTTGCTGAGAATGATGGTTTCCAGCTACATCCATGTCCCTACAAAGGACACAAACTCATCCTTTTTTATGGCTGCATAGTATTCCATGGTGTATATGTGCCACATTTTCTTAATCCAGTCTGTCACTGATGGACATTTGGGTTGATTCCACGTCTTTGCTATTGTGAATAGTGCCACAATAAACATAACGTGTGCATGTATCTTTATAGTAGCATGATTTATAATCCTTTGAGTATATACCCATTAATGGGATGGCTGGGTCATATGGTATTTCTAGTTCTAGATCCTTGAGAAATCGCCATACTGTTTTCCACAATGGTTGAACTAGTTTACAATCCCACCAACAGTGTAAAAATTTTTCCTATTTCTCCACATCCTCTCCAGCACCTGTTGTTTCCTGACTTTTTAATGATTTAGAGTGATGTATTTTTAGTCAATTATATTAAATATCTGAAAGGCTTTCATTATCAAAGTTTCCTATTATTTGAAGTAGCATTAAGATACATTTTTCTTTATATGAGGCATAGAATACACTGATTTCTCTCAAAGTCATAAATTCCCAACTGGTCAGTAATGTGAGAATACTGACTTTTGAGTGATTTTCTAGCATCCAGTCTAAATGACTTCAGTGTTTCTCCATCATCTTTGCACATTGAAACAACCAGGGTCTTTTATGTTTTTAATTATCACTACCTTGACTCCAATCCAATGCAATGAAACCACAGTGTCCTAGGTGGACACTGGAAAGAAAAAGACAACAAGACTAAAAAATATTTTTAATTGCTCAATGAGCCAAAGTCCATTCAGAAAATAGCATAATGTGTATCTAGGTGATTGGTCACCTTACATGTTAACGAGGCATGCCTGAATTAGCAGGGAGAGATATAAAAGCCTTGCAGCGCAAACTGCCAGTTGTCTTAGTAAGAAGAGAAGGCTTCAATGGATCCTTTTGTGGTCCTGGTGCTCTGTCTCTCCTGTTTGCTTCTCCTTTCACTCTGGAGACAGAGTTCTGGGAGAGGGAAGCTCCCTCCTGGCCCCACTCCTCTCCCTATTATTGGAAATATCCTACAGTTAGATATTAGGAATATCAGCAAATCTTTCAGCAATGTAAGTATGCTTTATATTCCTCCAGTGACTTGAAAAGGGTAAGTTCTTTGACTTCTATTTTTAAATAAAATATATTCCTGGTACCACACTATTAAAATGGATCACTGTAAAGCAAAATACTCCCTGCAAACTTTGATATTTCTCTTGTCTTTTCCATTCTGTCATTGTGGGAAATAGTGGGATGAGTTAATGCATTTTGTGAGTGGAGAAACATTTTGGTCAGTATACGGTAGAATCAAATCAATATAGTGGAAAAAGTTTGGAGTGATGGTTCTCTTTTTTGCTTCATACCACTTTGCTTTAATTTTTTGGCTGAAGGTAAATTGTAAGGAAAGTGTATGAGTTTAAAGTTGTCATCCAATAAGTCATCTATTCTATTAATCATGTGTTTTATTCAGAATTGCTATGAAAATTGAAGTTCTCTGAAGAATAAATTAATGCTTAATGTGAAGGCAACAGCTATGGGTTCAGGATCAACATAAGTAGATGAAAGAAAGACATATTCAGTCAGGGACCAATTGGTGGTAACAGAGTTCTTTTGAATTCTGCATAAAGCTGCCATCTGTGGCTAAGGTTGCTGGAGGATGGAAGACATTGTTCTTCCAGCAGATGCTGAATGTCCTGTTTCTGTCTCTGTGGTGCTTGCTTTTTCTGTATTGGCAGTAGCAGCAGTTAGAAACTTGACTTGGCATTAGAATCACCTGAAGTGCCTTATAAAATATGGATTACTAGTGTTCATCACAGGACTGCTGAGTCAGAATCCTTACTGTTGGAGCCTTCCGGGTGACACTAAAATTGTCAGCTGGGTATTGGTCTCAAGGTGGACACGGGGGACTGATAAATTGCTCAGGCACCAGAGTTTAAATTAGCAGAAGTTCCAGTTTGGAGCTTCTATAGACTACCTGTGGGACTCTGAAAATGAATTTGGAGTTCTCCTGACCTCCGTTTCTTTATTTATAAAACAGGGCAAATAAATGTGCTGAATGTGTTAAAGTGAGGATGAACCGTGACTTGTGTACCAATTGCCTGGGTCATTACACAGCATGTCACAGGCCATCTAAAATGGCAGCTATAACAATCACTATCACATTTATGTATAAAATTCAGAAATATCAAATCTGTGTATAATAAATCTAAACATTAAACTATACAATGATAATATCAGTCTGAATCATACATAATATTTGGAGCAAATAGCGACTTATTTTGCTGCTATTTGCATCTCCTTTACCAGTTCTCAAAACTCTACGGCCCTGTGTTCACTGTGTATTTTGGCCTAAAGCCCACTGTGGTTTTGCATGGATATGAAGCTCTGAAGGAAGCCCTGATTGATCATGGAGAGGCGTTTTCCGGGAGAGGTGCTTTGCCACTAATTGAAAGAAGTCAGAAAGGGCATGGTAGGTGTGCAGGTGCCTGTGTCAGCATTGGTAATTAGGGTTAGGAGGATGAAAAGCAGAGACTTGAAGGCAGAGCTTAGCCCATCTGCATGGCTGTTGAGTTTCATCTTCATCTTCTTTACCTGAGAATCCCCTCCTAGTTTCTGTTCTTTTTTTGTTAGGAATCATTTTCAGCACTGGAAAGAGATGGAAAGAGATGCGGCGTTTCTCTCTTTTGACCTTGCGAAATTTTGGGATGGGTAAGAGAAGCATCGAGGACTGCGTTCAAAAGGAAGCCCGCTGTATTGTGGAGGAGTTGAGAAAAACCAACGGTGAGTGACTCTACTCTGCATCACTGACCTTAACAGTCAGCTCTCTTTACTAAGGATGTCCTTGGTACATTTCAAGGATGGTCAGATCTTCATTGAGCATCCTGGTTGTCAGCCCCCGAGTGGTGGAGGGAGGTTTAAAGCAGAGAGAAAAGGGAGCTTGTGTGTGTCTTTGTGGGTGTACAGGCATGATAATGTACACAGTGTGGGTATAAAAGGTCATTTAATCCTGTTTTCTCCTCAATTTTGTTTCCTTGTTTTCAAATTAGAAATCATAAATGCAGGTCTTCAGTTCATTTTTGAAAAGCATTAAACAGCAATGTTTCCCCTATAGCATAAACCTGGGTTCCAGCTTTCAGAACATTTCACCAGAAAATACTTGGCTAGTGAACATGGTGGGAATTACCCCATCACACCCTTATGGAACGTGAACCAAGTGACATGTGCTTTCATTTAACTGAACTTTATTCATATGGTCAAACTCACTGACATGTCTGGGGATTTCTCCCAGGTCCATGCCTATAGTTTTGGCCAGTGGTGATACTATGTATGGTTTTACCTGTTTAATTGTATCTCAGTGCAGTTCTCAGTTGTTATTTCTCAGGAAATACGGTATTTTTTGGAAAATATCAGGATTAATTATTTTTTATTAACCATTACTTATTATAGCAATTTATAAATTTTGAGTAAGCATATGCTATGGTATGTTTCAGCAAAATATATAAATACCAATTTATAAATGATCTGTTTAACTATTGTGAATAACTCTTTATTCTGTTTTTCTTAAATGTAATTAGGCTCTGCTTTCAGTTTTGCTTATCTTTTCCTCTTGTTTATTGGATTTTAGCTTGGACATTTATGGTAATTCCTTTCTTCCCCATGCGAACTCTACTTACCTATGAAGGGCTTGTCACAGTGAATCTGAATATCAGCTAGGATTCCAAATTAACTTTTAAAAAATTATCTCTTCTAAGCGCAGTGAATGGAAAGACTGAAAATCAAATTTTATCTCAGTAAACACATAATCACATGCACACATACAATCCTCAAGGCTTCTGAAATTACCCTCCATGCCCTCAGCTATAATAAAACTTTTTCTGAAAGCTTAGAACACTGTTATGTTTACAGGAAACCAGCTTGAAAGCAGCTAACTCAACAGGTTTCCTGTTGTTTAATGTCCTTCCATTTATTTAGAACACTTTCAATTTACTTCACCTTATTTAGGATATACAGATGTGAATTTGGGAACTCCTTACATATAAAGTTTATTCATCACTTGATTACAACAATTTCACTTAGAGAACCCCCCCTACTAAAAAAGAAAACCTTTCTTATAATTCATTTACCCATAAAATGATATACTTACTCTAACATATGGTGAAAATTTAAAAATTTATTAAAACATGCTTATCTTGATGGCTATATGGAACAATGTCCCAGAATCTTCAAGAGTGGTTTTGTCCAAATGAATTAAATTTGGAGCATGACTGGGAATAATAAACAATAGTTCCTAAGAAATGAAATTCATTGTTTTAAACATTGAAATAAGAAATAAAAAGTCTCCATTATCAGTTTACTTTTACTTTTTGTTTGCCTTACTGGGATTTATATTGAAATAAAAAGTTTTCATTTTATTTTTTGGATAAGAAAATCACTTTCATGTTTATAGTTCATTTATATTAGTTTTTCTTCTCGTATAACATGGACATATTCTGCTTTTTACATTTTTTTTTCTTTAACCACGTGAATTCACCCACAGTCTCTCTAACTTTAGTTCTTCTTTACTAATGTAACACAATTCTTTTAGCTATTTATTATGTATAAAAAGTTTCTAGGTCCTCAACTTTTCTCTCCCTTTGTGCTTTATTGTCCACAGGCTTTCCAGACAGATGTGATTCTGCTTGAAAAACGCAATTAGAGTTTTTAGAACGTCTTCTTTTAATTCCAAAATAGCAGACACCTTGGGTTATAAGGGTTTAAATAAAGGCAGTAGGTGTGAATTGCCACATATGAAATGCCAGTCTTTAACGATCTAGGTTGTTATGCTCCACTCAGATTTCAGGTAAAACTGATGCGCTGATTTCACACATGCTGATTTTTATTTTTGGGGTGCAAGAGGAATTTGTCAGGAATTGCTTACAATTTCTAAATTTCCTTTACATCTTAACAAATGCATATTTTAAAATTATTTATATTTTAATTGAATTTTAAAGTTGTTTCGAATCCTTTAGCCTCACCCTGTGATCCCACTTTCATCCTGGGCTGTGCTCCCTGCAATGTGATCTGCTCCATCGTTTTCCAAAATCGATTTCAGTATGAAGATAAGAATTTTCTTACCTTAATGGAAAGATTCAATGAGAACTTCAGGATTGCAAGCACCCCATGGATCCAGGTGAGGCCAGGATTTTATCTTCCCAAAAAATCACTCTCTTTTCTTTTAAGTCCAAAATTCTGTGTGAACTAATCCTTGAAGTGCATGTTTGAACGCCACAGTCCTCAAGTAAACATCTGGGAAAGATGACTGAGCCTTTCATTTTACACAAAGAAACTTAATGTCTGAATATTGGCCTGGCTTTCAAGTCTGTTAGCTTCCCGACTCGTGGCTTTCCTACTAAACCCCAAAGCCGTGTTTCTGTACTTTGATGACCGCCCAAAAACATGCCCATGTCATTCCATGGACATCTGGGCCCTTTCTGAAGGCTTCCATTACTCACTAGTTTCGTCCTCCAGTTCACACTTAGAGACCTCTTCACCCTACTACGTGGCAGAAATATCCTAATTTGGAAAGGGAATATCTCCTTCAAGAAGAAAGAATAAGCCAGGCGCGGTGGCTCACGCCTATAATCCCAGCATTTTGGGAGGCCGAGGCAGGCGGATCGCGAGGTCAGGAAATCGAGACCATCCTGGCTAACAAGGTGAAACCCCGTCTCTACTAAAAATACAAAAATTAGCCGGGCGCAGTGGCGGGCGCCTGTCGTGCTAACTACTCAGGAGGAGGCTGAGGCAGGAGAATGGTGTGAGCCCAGGAGGGAGAGCTTGCAGTGAGCCGAGATTGC